GTTAAATCTGACCTAGTGGAAGAAACAGCCTCTATCACCTGCACACAGTTATGTTCCAATTCCTCCTTCTCTAACTGTGGTAATAAGGTAGCAGGGTTCAGAGTGGAAAAGGTAGCCAAAGTGATTCCTGGATTGTCCGGTAAAGTGGCTTGATATTTGGCTAATTGGCTAGATGTTAGCCAATGGCTTCCTTTTTGTTCTAGTACAGTTAGCAAGGAGTGTGGCCGATAAACACTCATTGGTTGTCCCAAAGTAAGCTTTTCAGTTTTGTTCACAATGAGGCTTGTGGTCGTCACCGCCCTTAAACATGCTAGCCATCCCATTGCCACAACATCTAATTTCTTTGAGAAATATGCTACTGGGCATTCGCATGTTCCCAAAATCTGGGTCAACACTCCTCCTGCCACAGGATTTGCAATCTCTCAGGGACAGCAAGCATTACCGCCTGAGAGAAAAGAAGCCATTTGCCAGTTGGGATTGCAAATCCCAAACAAATCACTGTTTCTTTAGCAATCTGGTCTCTGGTCTCAGATACCCCATAGACTGCTTGTCCCAAAAAGTGGATGTATGGTTCTTACATCTTGATTGACTGCCCTGAAATCTTGCATAAATCTACATTCTTCTGAATGTGGTTTCTTTGTAGGCAAAATAGTCCCAGCTGCCGTTCTTAGGCAAACATCTGTGTGGTCACAGTGTCCCACTGTCACGTGATCACCATTTGCGACCTCCTGCTGGCTTCTCTTCGACTTTGCTTGCCAGAAGCCAGCAGTGAAGGTGGCAAATGATTATCATGAGATCACGAGACACTGCAATGTTGTGATTGCGAGCCAAGCCCCCAAAGCATGATCATGTTGCTACTGGGAAGCTGTGATTGTTAGGATTTTTTCCCATGGGAAGAAATTCAGCTCGTTATCTGCACAGAAATGTTTTGTCTAGAGAAATTGTAAGACTTGCGTGACTGCACGTATACTGCTATTTACTGCCACCTATTGGCGTGGGTATGCTGGTTACCCAGTGGGGGGGTATGGAGTGGCAATATAATGGGAGGATTATATGCCCAGCCTCTCAGTGTAGTTTTAGCCACCATGTACTCATTTTTATGGGTTATGTAGTTGTAACTAATAGCCAAGTAGTGTACCTCTTCTCTGAGAGTTTTTAGCTAGAGACTTTGTTAAGTTTGTGATGTCAATAAGTCTTGGATGCTAAAATACATGAGAAGATGTGTTTTTTCC